AAAATTCTTTTAAAAAAATTTATGATTTTTTATAAATATTTTACTGTATTTTAATTAATATTTAATTGTATTTTTATACTGTAGAAATACAAATTTGGTATTGAAACACCTTGTTTTTGTCAAAACATAAAAAAAATAAAATAAAATTTTTTGTTTTCATGCATAATGCCAAATCTCTAAAAAAATGTATAATAAAAAAATCATATTATATCTTCATAAAAAAAGAAGTTTTAGCATGCATTTTGACTTTAATAACTAAATTATTAAAGTCACGAGAACTAGCCAATATTTCAAAAATTTCAAAGAAAAATTATTTTATTTTCTTTTAATATTTGGGGTTGTGACCTTATACGTAAGACGTATTCTAGATATTAAATTATTTATTTATGTTAAAACAGTTAGGTTTTATCTAATAAAATAAGCATTTCTTTACCGAAGAGAACTTTTCTTTAACCATAGATGAACCAACAACTAGAAAACACAAAGAGACTTTAAATTATATAAGACAATAAAACAATTCAGTTTATCTTAGGTATGGTGTATTTGGGGAGCTAATACCTTCACTTTACGTAACCAGTTCTCGTACCCGATCTCTAAGACTAGTTAGGGTTTCTAATGACCAAAATATTAGGTAGCGACTTCCATTCTATTTTTTCCACTAATAAAAGACAAGAATTCCTTGTCTCCCCTCACATTCGCCACACATACATTAGATAAATTTTTTGAGGGTGTATGTTTTCGCTGCAACGCCACACACATATGACAAAGATTACATCTTACATGTAAGTTTCTAATCCTTAATATTAAAAGGAAATAAATTTATTTTTTTGAAATATTAGTCAAGTTTTCGTGACTTTAATAAACTGATTATTAAATCCAAAATACATGATAAAACATGTTTTTTAATTATTATTATTTTGAAAATATGATGTAAATTTTTTCTTTGAAAGACTTGGTCATATGCATGAAAATAAGATATTTTTTATATAATTTTTTTTGTTTCCTTTTCTTTTGCAATGTTTTAATGAAAACAGTTATTTTAATATCGGATTTGTATCTTTATGGTATAAAAATATAATCCAACATTAAGAAAAATTGATAGAAAAACACGTGGAAAAAAACACAAATTTTTCAAAAAGATTTTCTTAAGAAAAAAAACATCTCTGGCCTAGCAAACAGTGGAGTAGCTCTCCACTGTTTACGCAAAATAGTGGAGAACAAAGGTGATGAAGAAGAAGAAGAAAGGGAAGGGGGGAAGGCTGACCCACTGACACTCACGGTGATGCTGATGGCGGTGAAGAAGAAACCAATGATGGTTTATAGTGGTTATTGCGGTGGCGAGCAGTGTTTGCTGTAGTTTTTTCTTTTTCTTCATTAAAGTCATTAGAACATGGCCTACATTTCAAAAATACCAAAAAAATTATTTTACTTATTTTTAATATATATTGGATTACAAAATTATATGTGTCATAACCCATTTTTGGACCCCGCATGAAAAATAAGAAAATCAAAAAATATAAACGGTGAACAAAGAATGTTAGTGCGCCCTAAAAATGGTTAAAAATTGGCTGAGGAGGTTAAAAAATATAAAGAATAAAATTTAACAGTATTTTATTGACTGATAACAGCCTTGTTGATAAGAAAAATTCAATTTAAGTAAGAAAAGTTCAAAATTATATGTTTATAGACTTAGTTAAAATTTATTGAAGGTTTAATTGAATTTATAGAGAGTTTGATAGCAAGAAAAATTAATTTTGAAGTCAATTTGGACTTTAATTGGAAGAAATTAAAGTTCCGGGGTCAAATTATAATTTTTGGAAGTTAATTTGGTGAAATCAAGGGTTTAATTGCATAAATATTAAAGCTTGATAGCTAATTAGAAATTTAATTGAAGAAATCTGAAACTAATGAGTAAAATGGAAAAGGCAAGTAAGTAGAGGGGCTGAGATTAAAACCAGATCAGGGGCCGAATTGAAAAAATTAGAAGTTTATTACTCAATTGAGGGTCAAATTGTATAATTTCAACACCAAGGACCAAAGTGAAAAAGACGACCAACTTCGAGACCGTTGTTGGATTTTTGACAGGGATGCAATTGCATTGATTTTAAATTAAAATTGCAATTTATGACTTGATTAAGCAAATTACAAATTGAGGACCAAAGTGAAATTTAACATGTTTTACCGCCTTTTCATTTAAATGAAACGGCGTATTTTGTCCAAAACAGCACCGTTTCATACACTGTTCATTAAAAAAAAAGAAGCTCAAAACGGTGTCGTTTTGAACGGTACCTATGTCTTCTTCTTCCCCTGGACGCGCGAAGTAGGGGAAGAAGAAGAAGAAGATTTTTTCTTCTGTTCCACCGCCAACTCTCTCTCAAAAAGATGTCGATAACCCACTTGCTTGCCATATGGTGGAAGAAGGAAGGGGACGTACCCCTTGGGTGGTTCAGGATGACAACATAGTGGCCACCCCAACCACGTCTCCCTTCCCTATTTTTGCTTTTAAAAATAGGGGAAGAGGAAGAAAAATATTGAAAACAAAGAGAGACAGAGAGAGAGAGAGAGAGAGAGGGCTAAGAGAAGAGAGAGGGCAGAGAATAGAAAAGAGAAGAAAGAAAAGAGGAGAAGAAAAGGAAAGAAAAGGAAAGAAGGAAAAGTAGAGGAGGGAGAGGAAGAAGAAAAAGAAGCACCGCCGCCACCTCTGCCACCCTCAGCTCCACAGTAGCACCGTCGGCCAATGCAAAACATCAACAACGCCACCGCTCCAGGTAAGCCTCCTCCCCACCGTTTATTTCCTTGCCCTTCGTTTGCATTTTTGCATACAAAACATGATTTCATGTTCTGTTGCAAAAATGCAGCTTGGGCTACTTATTGTGCCAATGCATGGTAACCAACCCATTTAGGTCTGGGCTGGGACATTAGCCCAACGCACAGTAGATGGCCTGAATCCAACCCAGCTAAGAAAGATTGGGCCAGGTCTAGCCCAATTCAGTTTTTTTAAAAAAAATTCAAAATTAATTTTTTGTTCAGATTTTTATAATTTTCCTGCATGGTTTTTTATGTAATTTTGTTTAGTATTGGAATATATTTTTATGTTGTAAAAATAAAAATTCGGTATTAAAATACCTGATTTTCATGAAAACTTTCAAGAATACAAAAAAAATTAAAGAAAAAAAATGTTTTTTTTTGCATACGGCCAAGTATCTCAAAGCTAAAAATCATATTGTGTTTTTAATAAACCAAAAAATAATGTTTTAGCATGCATTTTAGTTTTAATAACTAGTTTATTAAGGTCAAGAGAACATTGAACAAAATTTCAAAAATAACAAAAATTTTATTTTGTTTATCTCTTAGTATCTGAGGTACGACATTACACATAATGTGTATTTCAGATATTTAATTCTTTTTTGGACAATAAAACAATTAGGTTTTACTGCATTAAGATAAGAACTTCTTTATTAAGGAGGGTTAGTTTGGAACCTTAGATAGAGCAACAATAACAAACCACAACATAACTTTAGATTTTATCAGACAAAACAATGCAGCCTACTTTAGATAAAGCATATTTGGGGTGCCAATATCTTCCATTTATGCAACTAGTCTCCGTACCCGATCTCTGAGACCAGTTAGAGTTTCTAGTGACCAACATACTTGGTGGCAACCCCCATTCAAATTTTTCACTGACAATAGACAAAAATTCCTTGTCTCTCTATATTTGCTAGAGATATAACCATTTCTATTTTTTTTAAAGGGTGGACGATCGTCGCAGACGTGCGACAATATGTAAGATGTATTCCCTATATTAAATTCAAAAATGCCAAAAAAATTATTTTTTTTGTGTTAGTATATAGGATTATGAACTTATACATAAAATATATTTATGATATTAAATAAAAAATAGCTTATCTTATTTTTATATTAGTATTAGAACAGTTAGGTTTTTCACCTAATAAGATAGGGATCTCCTCACTAAAAAGAACTGTTATTCGACCTTGACAAACCAACAATTAAAAACATAATATTTTCTTAATTTATATAAGATAAACATATAATACAACATATCTTAAGTATGATGTACTAAGAATGATACATCCTTTTTATATATAATTAATCCTCTTCTTCAGACTCTAAAATCAAAATATTAAATAACGACTCTTATTTTTTTTTAATTGAAAAGGGATAATCATTCCACCTATATTATTCCCCACCATTCCGATCTAAAATAATAATCATCACAGCACCACACACTTGCGACATTGAACATGATAATTGTACCACTCTTAAAATCCTCCATGAAACAGCATGGCTTAGAAACACTACCTTTAAATGACTTAAGATAGCTCCTAAATCTTTCTTTAAAGAATTCTAATTAGGGACATACACCACTGCCTCCACACAATCAAAATCATATTGTGCAAAATTACCTTAAACATGAATTGCCCTGCCATTAAAAGTAGATAAATTTTAGACACAGAGCAAACCCCCAGATAAATCCTCAGAAGGAACAACATACCATAATCTAGAATTACCACTCCAAATGGGATTGACAATCTCCTCATCAGCTACCACCTTTTTTGTTTCCACCTCACATAATAAATCATGTTTATTATATCTCACCGATTGTCTCGAGCTCTCTCCTTATCTCTATTCCCAATACCACATATATTTCATGCAATAATATACCCATGAAAAAGATATGAACACTGATCATACCTTAACGTAAGCATCACAGATGCTCCCTCCTAAGAACACTCATACCTATAGGAAGTAGTAGTTGTCCCACCCATTCTGATTTTCTTTTCTTTTTTGGTTTATTGGAGTTATGATAAGCCATGTTCTATATAATGAGAGTGATTCTTCCTTCATCACTAAATCACATCTCTTTCTACTTAAGATTTGAGTCAGAAATCTTCTAGGTTGGAGTTGTCACTTTATAGATACAGATTTGTGTAATTGGAAAGAGCACATGTATAAATAAGGAAAAAGTAGGGTTCGGGAAATAACATCAATTTTTTATTGAAGAAAAACTATTAAGCTAATTATTCGAATTATGTAGTCATAGGATGTAGCAGAGATAACAATACAGCGAATAGCTAAAGACCTCTCTGCCTACAAAACGTATTCTTGGAAAATAAATTAAAGGAAAAAATAAGCACACAAGCTTCTTAAACCAGCGAGAAATTTTATTGCTCATTCTTGTAAAGAACAAGTGATCATGCCTTCTTTTTCTTGAGGAAGTTCTTGAACCACCGAGCTGAGAGTTTTGGGATTCTCTTCATTCCATTTTTATGATCAATGTAGATGATACCAAATCTTACGGTGTAACCTGAACCCCATTCGAAGTCATCCAAAAATGACCACGCGAAGTATCCCTTCACCTTGACACCCTCACTATAATAATAATAATAATAAGATAATTTAATTAACACTGTAATGTTTATTAATTATGAACTTGGTAAAGAGACACAAATATTAATTAAGAAGTACTTACGCTATTGCTAATCTCAAGAAAGAGAGATGGCTACGGTAGTAATCGATCCTTATGGTGTCATTTAGTTGTTGCGTAAGCGTTAATTTGCCTTCATTATTTACCTCACTTATGCCTAAAACAGGAGATATATTAATTTCGTGCGAAATGGGCTTTTAACAAAGATTGGAATGCCACATCAAGTATTTAATTATGATAACTAAGAAGTTAATTGATCACCATTCTCAGTGATGTAAATAACTGGATCATTGTATTTCCTCTTGGTGTAGAGCAAAAGTTTACGAATTCCTTTAGGATAAACATGGAGCCAAGTTGATCCTGCCTGCATTATTTTATTTTTAAAGAAAAATTTTGACTTAAGTTGTGACTTTAGAGAATTCGACTTGATTGTAAGTAAATATAAACGTTGTTTTATTTAGTTGATACACACCTGTGGACCAATAAGAACACCATTACGATCACCTATAATCACAAGAAAGAAAAACAAAAGATGATTGTTAACATTGAGCAATTAATCTACTCTAAAGAAGCATCAATCCTCAATTGTCTTTAAGTTTTTATTCTGTGCTTACTCCTAGTCGTGGCAAGACTATCCGTCAAGTAGCTTGGGTGTGAAATATTTGATCTAGGCAAATTTTCCGCATAGAAAGCAGTGTAGTAATTCAACCCAATAAAATCAAATGATCCCTTTATAAATGCAGATTCCTCCTTGGTGAATTTGGGTAATCTTTTCCCTACAAGAGACCTCATTGAACTTGGATAATCACCGAAAATTACTGGATCCATGTACCTGTAAAAATAACATAAAAAAGTTTGGTCATTTCTTCAACAATGGGATTAAAATATAATTTCTTATTTCTTTTTTATAAAAAAAAATGTTAGAACCCTAAACTTCTTAATAGAAGAAAGGTATAGGTATTAGTTGAGCTTGTTAGGTGGTCTGGGGCCTATCTCCTTCTCAAAAACTAGCATGTCCTTGAACTTTTGAACTTTTCATTATCCCCTTCTACAATAGATGTGTGATAATTTTTTATCAAAACCTTTCTTGTTACTAGCTTGTCATAAATTCTTAGATGTTCTTGGACCTATCTCCCCCTCAAAAGCAAGCTTGTGATAAATTCCTCACGTTCCTCCCACAACCATTGTGTGGTAACCTCAACAGAGCTATGAGCAATAAATCTAGGGAGACTTACGTCAAGAGAAAACAACCGCAACACATACCATCCATACAAGAAATCCAGGGACCGTTGTGCAGCAGCTTTGTCCTGTGTAGAATTAGAGTACGGCAAAAACCAGTGGGATGCTACTGTGATCCCTATTATGCCCTTTTGAGTTGCCTGCAAGCACAAAATACTTGGTAACCTATATCATGCTCGAAAATCATTTTTGTGAATATTAAGTTTGATCTTTTGAGTTTATAATCCAAGTTATTAGTCAACCTTCTTCGTTTGAAGATTTGAATGATTGACAAGTAGTCTTAAGTTTGTCCTTGTTTTTTTCCTAGTATCTAATTCACTCATTAATTGAAAGAAAAAAAAACGATAACGTAGGATTCTAATTAGTGTTGTACCTGGTATTTTGCCTTGTATAATCTTACAGCAGCAGCATGAGATTTAATCAGATTGTGTCCTACCACATATGGTTCTGTTGATGAATCTCCACCAGTACAATTTAAATTCTGCCAAGCTGAACATCTATTTGGTGCAGTACTACCAGAAGCATAGCCTCCCGAAGTAAAGATATTTGGTTCATTCAATGTGATCCAGTGCTTAACTCTATCTCCAAATTCTCTAAAGCAAACATCTACAAAGTCCTCGAAGTCTTTCCTGTAAGATAATCAATGATAGGTTTTGGTTATTTACACTATGATATACAGAGAAACTCAGATTATTAAGTCAAAAGAACTTTTAAAAAAAAAACACAGAGAAAATTGATCAAGTTACTTACACAATCCTAGTACTTAGAGAACTCCCATACTCAGAATCTAAGGCTTGAGGAGTGTCCCAATGGAAAAGAGTCACCACCGGTTTCAAGCCTGAACATGATAGCAATGAACAAATTGAATTCACTTGTCCACAAGGTGTGTAATGTAAACTTAAATCATGTAATTAATTATTATAAGATTGAATCATAATTAACCATTTGCTACGAGCTCATTAATGAGGTTGTTGTAGTATTCGATTCCTGCTTTATTCACTCCCCCACTCATCTTTCCTTCTGAAGTAATTAAAAACAAAATATGCCATGTTAAAACATAACAATTTTGCAAAGAGAATATATATATATATATATATAGCAATTTCATCAATGTTCCTCTGTTTTAACTTCTTTCACAAGTGTATATATGGGAATTAATGAGGTGGAAAGGTCATGATAATGTGGATGGATATTGCGAGTGGTTATACGGAAGATCTTACTTGGCAATATTCTAGGCCATGAGATTGAAAATCTGTAGGAGTCTAAGCCCATGTCTTTCATGATCTTAACATCTTCCTGTGACATTTAATATTGGAAAATAAATAAGAATATCACCCATCTCACTAAAAAATATTTGTTTTTTTCCCAATTATATATGATTTTCAATGTGCTAAACATTTTTTAAAAATATTTAGTTATTATAACATAAAAAATTTATCAAAGAGATATCAAGAACCATAATGTATGAATATATTAAAAAAATTAATTATGCAAAGTTTTAACCCTAGATCTCATATTTAATTTGTACCAAAACAACGACGTGTTTTTAATTATAAAGAAAATAATTTGAAAGAGAATTAAACACCACTAATACTAGCTGGACTAACTTTAGGCAATAACCTCACTAGAAGTTTAGACAGTATTCAAATGTATACGAACACTAATAATCAGTGTATTGGAGTTATTCAGATTCACAGTGTTCAAATTTTTAGTGGCTAGTCATTTAATAGCTATTTGGGTTTTTTATGTTTTTTTTTTCCAATTTTTACTCTGTTTTTAGCAATCTCCAGGTGATGTAACAAATAATTTTTCATTCTTCTGTTTTGATAATTCTCTGAATGGCTATTTTAATATATTTCTTAATTATCATAAAAAATAAAAAAAAGGTAGCTATGCTATAATTATTTAGTTACCTTGTAACGATGATATTGATCAACAGCCACGTCTCCATTGCTACGATCAGCTATTTTTTCTGCATTTCACCATACATATATTAATTCCATTGCCTTAATACTATACCGGTTCTATCAATAAATATCTTGATGATTACAAGGTTTTTTCAATTAAAAATTTATTAAAATAATTTCTTTTAGATTTGTTTTTTTTTTATTTTTTGTATCAGAATATAAAAATCATCAATAAACACCTAAAATATTAATTTCATATTTTAAAAATAAAAAAACTCTAACATATTGTTTTTAAAAAAGAGTCCAATCATGTTACTAAACACAAAAGTCACTAATACAAGACAAGTCGAGCTAAAAGTTTATCCGACAAACACCATGAAGGATAATTTCTAAGAGAAAGAGAAACCAGGAAATTTATGCGTAAATGTATCCCATATGCTTAGTCCTTTGCCATCTTGGAAAGCTGCACCTTCGTACTGAAAAAATGTACAACATAGTAGAATTTAACATTCTATGAAGTAATTAAAAAAAAAAATCGAACTCGAAATTTCTTGAAACTGAAATAGAGGTTCAATTCAATTATAAATCTATTGTCTCTCATGAATTAATTAAACATGAAGTAAAATCACTATAATTGATGGCACGCTAAGACTAAAAATGACCTGGTAAGCTGCTGATGCTGTCCCAAAAATGAAACCTGGTGGAAAACTATGACGATTAAAAGAATGAATATCATGGCTAGGTGTAGTAGAGGCTACAATAGTACTGGCTACCAAGCCAAGAATGAGAATGCACAACACATAGCTTTGAGGTGCCATGGTTGTTAACAACGGTAACTGATATCTGGGTGGTGTGCAAATCAAGGGTGGCATGTGCCCTTTATATAGAATTCGAGCACGAGGAAATGCGCCCTGGGAAACTCTAAAGATGATGTATCTGTATTAATCAAAACCCACACTAGTATATTTAAAGTTCTTGCTTGTTGGCATGTATATTTATATTAAAAACAAGTTGCTGTCAAGTATTTTTTTTCTAGTTTTTGTAGGATATTTGTATTGACTTTGACTAGTTCAACTTAATTATGCGTGTACGGGATTTGTATTCTATTACTTGGGTTAAAGATGAAAACATCATGCGATCATAGCATTTGCAAGATAAATTTAATGATATCTCCACTGCTTGTAATCCCTTTCCTTCTGTGTTTTTTGAGCATGTTCATAATTAGAAGAATCGTGTTGCTGATAATTTGGCCGAGTGCAAGCTAATTTAGTTGGATGGTTTTAGGTTTTTTAGCAAGCTAATCAAAGTCACCGAACTAGATTAAATATAAATCCAAGTTAATTACTTCATAAAATTAGGTACATTGATCGACATTAATTGCTCAAACTGGCCATTAAATTCTTTGAATAAATTTGTTTTTTTGTTTTAAGAAATGCAAAGTTTCTTGATATAATTATTGATTTTTTACAGCAAGATTAGAAATTGTTAATAATCATCTGCATTCCGAGAAGAAATTAATATTACTGTATAAAGTTATTGTACATTCTTTTTTTCTTTTTTTGTTCAAAACCAAGAGCTTTGAGACACGAAGGAAGTCAACTTGAATTCAATGCATAATGATCCAAATTAATTTGAATTTATATATATATATATATATATATATATATATATTACTCAATTATATATATATATATATATATATATATATTACTCAATAAATAATAGATAGAATATAGACATTTCAAATCTAACATGCGTGTGTGTGTGTTTAGTCAAGATTTTAGTAAAAGAGAACCAGATTACTAATAAGTTAATGGCAATCTAGTTGGTAGGTAAAAAGAGTTCTGAACAAGGGAGAAGGAAACATAGCAAAATCAAAGGCAGGAATACAAGAGCAAAAACTATATACAAGCCAACATTAATTAGATCATAGTAGAATGCTTTCAGGACTTCTTACCATATGTATGTGTGTGTGCGTGTTATATTAACATTGAAGTATGTACTTATTAAATTAGATTTAAAATATATAAATTGTACTTTAGGATAATAAATAATTGAATGGATACAATAGAATATGATGGAAGGGAGACTCATTGTTATTCTAACTTCGAAACCTAAAATAATGTACTTTATGATCATTTCAACATATAGTAATATAATTGACCATTATGTAACATGGGTTTTTTTTTTTAGTGATTTTAAGGATGCATACCCTCACATAAATTTTTTACATTTAGAGAAAATTAATACACTACCAAATTAATAAATAAAAATAAAAATACAAAGAGGATATTTTCGTTAAAAATTTACCGACAAATTTTACCAACTACAATATTTCCTCGTTATATCCCAAGAGAATTACAGTGGGAAACAAAATAATAAAAACAAAGCAAAAAAATAATAACATGATGATTTTACCAATGAAATTACCGACAAACTAAATTCCATTAATAAAATCTGTAAGCAAAACTGTTGGTAAACTATTAACATTGTTCATTATGTTAATTATAAAAGGAATAACCTACGAACCATTTCGTTGATATTTTCTAGAAAGCTTTGGAATTGTTTACTTTTTAGTTGTATTGTTAATTATTGTTCTTTACAGATAAAATTATTGATGGATTAAAAAGTTGTCAGTGTTATTTAATGATTTTTCAAAAAAATTAGATTAAATTAAAATCTTAAATTAAATATTATAGATAGAATTACCAATAAATTAAAAAATTATCGATAATATTTAATGGTTTTTAAAAAAATTTAATTAAATATTATATACGAAAATCATCAAGAAAAATATTACACTACGAAACATAGATCACTTTCCCTTTCTCTCATCTCAAAGTAAGAAAGATTTGATCTCGTTTAAGCATATAAAATTTACACATGTTTAATATTTTGATTTTTAATTAGTTATTTTTTTCTTTTTTTAACTCAATTAAAATAGGTGAGTTTGATAATTAAATTATAGAAGAAGATTTGTGATGTTGATTGATGTTTGTACAAGTCATCATCGAGTACGTAGACGAAATCAAATCTTATAATTGATCTCTCCAACTACTGTTGTTGTCCTTTCCTTCAAGGCACCTTCATAGGATCTTATAACACAAACTAGTAAATTTGATTTATTATTATTCTAGCAAGGCAAAAGTTAAGGAGTGCCTCGGAATGTAAATGAATTTAATTGTTAAACTCACCTATTCTCAAACAAAAATTCCCAAACTCAAATATTCTTTTACTCGTGATACTCTATTATTATCGACTCAATTCCAAATCCCAGCTGTTTTTGTATTATTTTTAATTGTTAATTGTATTTTTGCATTTTATATTTTTTTTTTATGATTTTCAAGATGTTCGGACTCACAAAAAATTAATAGAAATGAAGAAAATAACAAAATGATTAAAATAGCTAAAATTATTAAAAAGGCATATTTTTTAGGTCTGTCTAATTTTCTCAAAATATATACAAAAAATAAAGATAAAAAATTAGATTACAACAGTGCTAATAGTGTTTGTAAAGTTGTAACTACGTTTGTGGTGGTGCCTGGTGTAGAGTTGGATGATTCCTTATTTGTAGTTTTTCTTATCATGCTCGCTGTTGCATTTTGCCTTGAATAAAGAAACAGAAACGTCATGCAAACACTTGCCATGGCTATCTTCTTCTTTTTTCTTCATCCCTTATTTACGATGTTATTCTCAAGTGCAGTCTATAGCAGCCTGACCACTAAGAATGGTTGATGTGTTGTCACACATTTTTGGTAATTTTGTTAAATCTAATTTAGTAGGTCAGTACTTTTCAAACATTTTAGTTTGACTTCTAGGCTAGTTGAATTTAAATTTAAACTATGTAGATGTTTGATATTTGTTATTAAATCTAATTTGGTAGGTAAGTTTTCAAACAATTTAGTTTGACTTCTGAACTAGCTTGAACTTAAATTTAAAGTGTGAAGAAGTTATCCTGACATGAATGATACCCAACCAACTTCTTCTAAAAAAAATTAGAATAAAATTAAAAAAATAAAATTGACAAGAAAAAAACTTTTTAATCCAATTCTTTTTTTAATTTAGGTTTAAATTTAAACGGTATAAAAATTGTTTTGATATGATCTAGTTAACTTCATCAGCTTAAAAATAATTTAGATAACTATTAAAAAACAATTAAAAAGGAATTTTTTAAAAAAAAAAAACTTAAGTGCTCCACAAAGAATCCAGTTTATTTATTATAGAAAGCACTACCGAGGTGTTTTAATTTTCATGCATAACAGAAGAATATGGACGAACAAATAACTAATTCAATTTTTTTTAAGGAAAGAAATATTTTTTCTATGATAATATATTCTTACAGTGGATGGGTAACTAAGAGAAATGTTGAGGGAAAAAGAGAAAAAAAAAAAAAAAAAAATCTTCGCGCACCTGTTCCTGCCAAAGTTTAGACTTCATTCTTCAGAGCAGAGCCTAAGATTTCAAATCCTTCTCGCCCTGTGTGATAAGATTATACAAATATATCTTAGTCTATTTATATATTATATGAAATAATATTTCCTTTAAATCAATTGATGAACTTAAATTTTGATATTTTTTTTAATACGGAAATTCATGTTAATTAAAAAAAAATATGGATATTCTTGACTGTACGTGGACTGGGACTGGTACCGTGTGATTGAATTACCAAATAAAATAAATTTTTTAATCCATCTTCAAAAGTGAGACTTTTACTAATTAATTATCATGACGTGCATGGAAATTAGGGAAAAATCACTGGGCAAGTGGGCATTTCATGCATATTAAAATGTCACATCATTAGACTATTATGGCTGCATTGGAAATTCAAGGAGACAAATTTCCAATAAAATATAAGAAAACCATGAGATCTGAACTTGCATTTAATATATGAATTAAGTTGTATGCTAAACTATTTTTTTTAATTTGTATCCCTTTAAGAATTGTGTGTTTAAACAACCCAAGTGGCTTAAATTAAACGATGAGTTCCGCACGTCTAATCACATGAGATTGCTTGATATCCCTTTAAGAATTGTGTGTTTATACAAGAGATTGCTTGAAAAATATTAGTGTAAGGTGTAGAGACAAAGACAGCTTTCCTAAAATAAAAAAGAAAGAAAGCAAAACGTGCAGACTAGCAGGAGATCCTTTCTTGTTGTATACATGAGGGTTGATCACCAGAAGATTTTTTTGGACGGATTAACATTATTACATTTTTTTTCAAAGAAAAAATAACCCTTCAATTTCTATAGGACAGTCAATAGCTTACGGGGTTTGCAGGGTTGGATCAAGAAATTTGTGAACCTAAAAAAAATATCTAAGTTATATTGAATCATTTAATATTGTTATTAAATCTAGTTAAGTAAACTAATCTTGAAATTTTTCCACCCGTTTATTTATTTAATCTCAATTTAAAATTAAATTATATAAAAATTATTCTAATATAATTTAATTAACTTGAAGATGCAGCAAATTAAATTGTTTTCTTAAAAGTTATTTTTAACTTAATTATATGATAACAAAAATAGATACTTGTAAAATTAAAAAAAAATATCAAAATATTTATTTAAAATGATAATAAACTCATAGAAAATAAATTTGAACAAATTATAAGGACTAATTTAAAATCAATTAAATATTAAATGATAAAATTAAAAAGAATCAAATATAAATATAATATTGAATGATGAATTAAAAAAATTCATTGTTGTTAATATAAACCGTAAAATTAAACAAATTAACTAGAATTTTTTTTTATATATATATAGTGTTAATTTAGATTGCTTTAATAATAAGCTAAGTGTAATTCATATGATATTGTTGTGATCTACCATATACATATTATAAGTCGGTGCTCTGGCTAGGAAATCAAGAAAATGAATAATATAACTAACAGAATTTATA